TATTCCAAAAACTCAGCTTCCCTAAAGAATATTAATAAAGCAGTGTATTTTGGTTACAGAGAAAAGTGCAGAAATAGAATCTGAATGTAAATGATGGAGAAACATCTGTGAAAGTTATGAGAGCTGCCAGGCAACAATAAAAAACTGCCCTGCCAAGGACATTTTTTAATCAGAATCCAAATTCAAAGATTTCTTATTAAGAAGGTACAAAGAGAAAACAAAAACTACACATGATATTCAGATGACAGAAACCGTACTGTAAAAGCCCTCATGAGTTTGCCATCACATTTTAGAAAGAATGTGGAATTTATGCCTTTTTGAGCTGATTTTAGAATGCAAACCTTGTGTTGCAAGCAATACTTTATTAAGATCTGAATCAACAAAAACCTTAAAGATCTTTTTGAATATTAACTAGTTCCACTCCAACATCCTGTGAGGTATTGGTTATTAGCATCATCCTAAAGATATGGAAATTTTGCAGCAAAGCTGATGTCCTTCCTGAGGTCATACACTGATGCAAGTGACAGAGTCAGGGAGAAAAATAATTGTTCCTGGCTTTTAAGAACTAAGCAATCCTGCCTCCCTGAAATAAGTAATATAAATGTTTTTTTAATTCCTCAAACAGCAGAATCCACAAAATACAAAGAAAATCAGGAGGTGGACTTTTGTCCCCATATGTATAATAAATTTTTGCCATTGCAAGACCTTGTAAATGTGCACTCCTAACCTACAAATGTTACCAAGCCATTAGTTGCTCTAAACTGCAGACTTCCCATCCCAGAGACCCGATTTCACTCCATACACCATGGCACTAACTCAGAGGCTGTCTGGCTTACACAGCCACACCAGGAAAGCCCAGGTGTTCAGCCCAGCCAGTTTGGAGTCTCTTTTAGTGCTCTTTGGATCACCGAATGGACACACAATGGCTGATTGTCAGCGTGAGGCCAAAGGGAGCTGACACTTTCCCAGAGAAAAATGCCTTTGCTGTGTGTTTGGAAGGTTACACAGCTGTAAGGCAGACACAGAAGGAGCTGCAACCCTGGAGGGATTATTGCCTCAAACCCACATGTGCTATGGAAGGAAGCTCTCCTGTGGACTGACATACCATTAACTCCTGCTGGTGGGAGCCCATTCCTATGGCTGGAAGTCCTTTACAGCCTCAAACTGCTGGTTGCTTGTCCTGCAGATAACTCTTGTCTCATCTCTGACCTAGCGACTTGGCCTGGCTTGTATTTATTTTCTCATTTTATAAGAAACAGGCTCTTCTCTGAACTCGTTATTGGTGGGAATACTGGCGTGGTGCGAGGCTGGGACCCACGCTGTACAGTACCAAATACTCGAGCGGGAGAACCAGGAACGCGTCCAACACGCTGTCTGTCTTCCTGGGAAAAATCTCCGCTCTACACACTCCCAATCGTGCCATCAGCTGGAGCAAGATGGAACTTCACTGCATGAGATGGAATTCAAAAATGCTCTTTAAGGACAGCAAGCACTGCCTGGCCCTAGGCAAAGCCTGGTGAAGACCCTGTGGCTCTCTGAAGGGCAGGACGACACTGACCAGGCTCCTCCAAAGGCTGGTGAAGGTGCCAAGGAAGACTGGAGGTCAGCAGGGCCTCTTGAGCGCCCTGGAAAAGGCTGTGCTGGGGTGAGGGTGCTCGTGGGGCTCCGCACTTGCTCTATCACCTCACCCTCACCTCGCCAGAGCGCAGGTCCACAACGCAGACCCACCAGCTAGGGCTTCCCACGCAGGAGTGGCCATGACTGAAAGCTGTTGGTGGCCCTCACCTTCCCTTGCTCGGGGAAACCTGAGGCACTTCAGATGGGATCGGAGCAACGTACAGGTGGGTACTGACCTAAGGAGGGGTTCTGAGGGAACAAGAGAGATCCAATGGGAGCCACAGGCATGGAAAACGGCAGTGGGGCACACCCACGCACTCCGCAGGCCTTGTAGCAGGGAGGTCCTAAAGGGGCCAGAGGGGCAAAAGGCGGCTCAGAGAAAGAAAAA